ACCTTCATCGGCGCTTATAGATCCCTTTAAAGAGCCCTTAATCATAATCCCAGTTACTTATAGAGGCCTTTAAGTAATAACCCTCTAAAACCCCAAAGACCCCATCGGAAGCGGCGCCTGGGCCAGGTTTCGGACCTCTCGAGGCCAGGTCGCGCCTTGGCTTTCCGGGTGAAGGGCTTCGGGATTTTTCTAGGATACCCAGTAACCTAAGAATAAAAAGGCCTCTCTTTTTGGTATTGGGTAACTTTATAAGGAACCTAGGGCTACAAAAAGGGAATAAGGGTACTACTGGGCATCCTAGTTTTTGTTTGGGGGTAAGGGGGGTACTGGGGTTCCTTTCAAGGGGCTTACAAGGGTCTCTTTAAAGGGCTCTAGAAGGATACTATGGAGTCTTCTTTGCGGGTGTAGTTGGGGGTTGGGAGTTTAAGGGTTTTGGGGTTTTGGGGGTGGGTCGATGGGGAGACTCAAAGAGATGTATCGGTCGATGGGAGAGACTCAAAGTGATGTATCTTCAGGAAAGTTGTGTTGTTTACTTAATCGTAAGGCTTTGGATAAGTCGACGGGAGGACCTCGAGAATGCGTGTAAGCGCAGGCCGACCAACCTGATAAAGCCAATACATGGCTATTCGAGATACGGGAAATGCTTTGTCGGCGCCTTCAGTGGTTTAGCCAAAACCGACAGCGGCATGAAGCTATAGGCGCGCCCCAGACTTTTCTGCTCTGTCGACATGTTCTGTGCCTCATCAACCGGCAACAAGATTGAATCCCAGGTGCTGAAATCTAGAGCACCGGAATAATACCGGCCACCCCACCCCTCTGCCAGGCAGTGCCTGGAAAGGCACCATAAGCGCCTTATGTCCTGATGGACTCACGCTTTCCTGCCATATACCTGCGGCCCGTGCAACGAAGTGATTCTGCAGCCACAACGGACAGCGTCACGCCTGTCCCGGATATCTTCGTGGTAGCCAGCATTCCGCGGAGATGACGTCCCCTTCCTGCGAAGCGCACTGCTCCGGTCTATGCAGCCGCAACGAAAACTAAAGGTGCAACCTCGGATGCGCAAGAGGCAATTTTCGGCCTCATTCAGCTCGCTGCCGCACGACGGTCGCTGAAATGGCCTGAGGAAGCAACGAAGCTGCCGCGTAGATGCGGATGAATGTCGAAGGATTTGCACGGTTGCGGCCTCCTCGCAGTCTTCGTGAATCCCGTCGAGCGACAGGGTTTCGACGACCACCAGGTCTCGCGACGACACTCACGGCCAACAGCATGAGGGTGCATGGACTTTTCGAGTCAAGGAACAGCTCAACAGGTTCAGCAGGTGCAGGATCTGATGCAGGCTGTCCCGTATATCCAAGCCCAGATCCGTATCTTGATCGCGGCCGTGCATGAGAGCCTCACGTGCACGAACCGAGCCGCGTGACTATGCGTAAAAGCAAATGTTCGTTCAAGTGGCACACTCCAACAGCTCTCCCACCGTCGAGATCCGGCACGCCCAGGCTTCGGCTGCGAAGCGCGGGCAGAGGAGGTTCACCGCCAGCTTGCAGTTATATCTGCCTGCTCCTGACACGCAAACGCTTCCATCTACAAAGCGGGAGTGTCTCGAGCGCCTGGGAAGTTGGATTCATGGTAGGCGGCGTGCAGCGGCACTCTCCTGTTAGCTTATGAAAACACGTTGTAGGCGATCGAGCACGTGTCTGAGCACGCAACTCTTTCTTGGTGAGGTCCAGGACATGACGCAGCCAGCAGGTCAACATGAACTGCATCGCCTGCGTCGTGCTCGCACAGAGCGTACAGGAAGTCCTCTAATCCATTGTGATTCCGCCTGGTTCCGCTGCCAGGCATACAACTCGCTTTTGAGACGGCGGTAGAGCAACCGAATCGCCCTCTCGCGAGCTTCTCGGCTCAGTGACGAGCTCCAGCGCATCAGGTCCGCCATGGTGCTCCTCGCCGACGGTAGCATGGCCTAGGAACGCAGCACGTTGCCTTGTGCGCAGTGACAACGCGCGCGGCAGCATACCAGTTGATCCAAGTTCCGAACAACTTGCACTGGATCAGAGCCGCAAAAAGCTATTGCGCTTGAGCCACTCACCTGCTTCCGACATGTTGAAGCAACGACCAGCGCAAAGAGGATCGCCGCATGCCCCTTGTCAACATGCTGGAAGGGGTGCACGACCCGGAGCAAGAACGACAACCTTCGAACACTGTCCTGCTTTCAACTTCGGACGACTCGGCGAGTGGAAGAGGTCATCGCAACTGAAGCCGACAGATGGAGCGGCGCCCAAACAACCTGATGTCAATTCGAGTCTTCTGCATGTACGCTTGTCATACTATACGCAAACGCACAGATATAGACACGGTTTGGGGGTTTAGGGGTTTAGGGGTTTTGCGGCTAAGGCTTTGGGGGTTTAGGGCTTTAGGGTTTTAGGGAGCCTGCGTCCTTCTTTTAGGGAGCCTGAGGGTTAACTTTTAGGGTTTGGGTATGGGGTTTGGGGTTTAGGCCTTAGGGTCCAGGGCGCCCTAGTTATGTCAAAAGGGTTCCTGATGAGGGTGCGGTTTTAAAAGGGTCTACAGGGGCGAGGTTTAAGGACTTTGGGCTGAAGGTTTAGCGCCGCTTCAGCTGTTCGCTTCAGGGCCCACGGACCCACCATACTTAAAGGATCATGGGACTTAGTAACTATAGGGTTATAATTAAGGTAGCTCTACTTATAGCTACTTATACCCCAATTAAGGTACTTATAACCTTACTTAGTCCCATGATCCTCCAAGTAGAGGCACTGGGTTTGGATCTTCGGATCCTTCGCCCAACGATGTTTTGTTGCGAGACAAAACCGGGTCTTCCGGTTAGCACCTGTCTGCTCCAGAATTCGAGGTGTCAGGTTAAGCACGTGAGCACAAACCCGTAAGCAAGCGCTCTATAGAAGCTTTGATAGCAAATTTGATACTGCGCGTGTAATACGGAACCCTGAGCAATAGTATCACTAACTCGTCAAGCTTTCAGATCGCTGTAGTTCGTCCAGAGACTGCGCAACCCATTGACGAGTATATATACATCTACACCAGCATTAGATATACACACATATATGTAAACAAACAAGACAAAGCTTAAAGTGTAGAAACTTATAGAGGCACTCTGTTAAGGCATGTTCCTCAAACTATAGAGCTAGAGAGGATTCTGGTTAGATTTGATTTGTGGTCGATTCCTTCAAAGAGAAGCGCGGGCTTTGGGAGTCGCTACCGGAGCCCAAGGGTTCGAGGGTTCCGTGTCCTCCTATCCTATGCTAAAGCCACCCAAAAAGGGAACTACAATGGAGAATATGGGTAGTTTGTAGGCGCCGCGGGGGCGGGGGCTCAAGGGTTTGGGGTTAAGTTTCGGGCTTTAGGGGTTTAGGGTTTTGACTTCGGGTCCGGTCCGTCAGGGCTGAGGTGTTGGGAGAAGTGGAGCGACGTCAGGAAAGATCTCCGCCAAAGCACAGACTTGTACGTGCCCGGCCTTCGCGTGGCGGAATCTTGCCGAAGTTTCTCTGACGTCTTAAACTTGGCAGACTTCTGAACCCCTCCTACAAGTTAAACTTTTAGCCTCCTTATTATAGTTCATATAGAAACCCAATGGGGTTAAAGTCTAAAGAGCCAACCAGAAGAACGCCAAGAAAGACATATTAAGGAATATACCTTATATTATACTAGGATCCCTAATATGATTTAAGGTATATTCCTTAATTCAGGGATATTGCAGTCTCTGGGGACTCGTCTCAAAAACATGCGAAGCCCTATGCAGGCGCCGGCTTCTGCACAGAGGGCGACAGAGATCATGCGCCGCTCACGTGCCCTGCCCCCAAGGCTCCATATACCCATATAGTATATACATTAGGCCTTAAAGTACCTATATAGGGACCCCTTGAAGGCTTAAGTATCTACTATAAAGGTACATGGAGCCTTTGGGCCGTCGCTCATGTGCAGCGTTTTCGTCTGGCACGTTGCTGCCTTGCGGACGTCGCAGAGGTAGTGTGATGTGACCGAGTTCTGGCCTTCCGAATTCAAGCATCGCTCTGCTTTGAGATTAGCGCTTTATGCATCAGTCGTCACCAGCTGGGCATAGAACGTGGCTTGCTGACCGAAATCAGACAAACCTGGGACAAACTTCAAATATCGAAGGCTGGCAAGCTGCCGTGCTTCGGTCCACACACTGCAGCCATGTTGGCATGGCCACACGAAGCGTGTAGGGCATGTGTTCCACAAGCACTGTCAGCTCACACTGGCTTTGCAACTTACTTTCGGTTAGTAGGGAATGGAAGAATGGTAGTAATAGTAGTTATAATTGTACCCCATTCCTCCATTCCCTACTAACCAAAGGATAAGGCAAGACCTTGGCCGTGCCATCTGCCTTGGCAGGGTGCCTGGCCTCCTCAGCAGTCGTGTACGAGACTGTGATGTTGGAGGGTGTCTCGTCGTAGCAGCGCTTGGTCACAAGCGGCACTGGCCTGTCTTCCTGAATGCCGAAATCGCAGCAAAAATAGAAGTCCGATCAAAAAAACAGTCAGAGGCAGCAGACAACAGCCACATCGAAAAGAGCGAGACTCGACTGGTCTCGCCGTCAAAATTCCTCGAAGGCTTGAGCCCCAAAACCCTGAAACCCTGAGCGCTAGACTGAACCTTAATCCTGACCCTTCTACTACTCTCTTCTGAAAATCAACGGCTCAACCTCGTAGATGTAGACCACCTTCCGAAAGGTTTCTTTGGTATAACTATATCGAAGCATAGTATACCCCGAAAGCCTGGTTCCATTTATTTAGGCTTCTACACCAAACCCTCCCCTTGAAATTTTGGGGCCTAAAAGCCCAGCTCATGATGAACACCTGAACCCCCCTGGACCAGTTATAAACCCTACCCTAAAACCCAAATCCGAAGCCGTAAACCCTAAACCTTAAAGCCTGAGACCTAACCCCTAAACCCGAAAACCTCAACCCACAACCCCGAAACGTCAAAGACCACCGCCGGGGGACTGAACATCATGGTCTGGCGGTCGCGAGGTATGGCCTTGATCAGGGTCCGGATCCTCGCGCGCAGCACTCTTCGGGGTGGGTTTTGTCTGTCTGTCTGTCTGTCTGTATGTATGTATGTATGTATGTCTATGTATGTATATATATGTGTATGTGTATGTGTGTATATATATATATATATACACACACATGAGATAAACATATATTATATGCAAATCTATATAATATAATATATATATATATATATATATATACGCCTTCGTCGTGTTTGGTTAGAGTTAGCGGTGAGGGATTCTGCCGAGCTTCTGTGGCTCGAAGCCCATGTCCAACATCCGGTCTGCCTGGCGGCTCATGGGGCGTGCGATTTTGGGGTTCAGGGTTCGCTATACCCCCTTAGAACCACAATAAAAAACAGTATGCTTAATGCTCTCTTGGGTTTTATATGAAGACAAACAAAAACTATACTGAACTTAGAACCCTAGCAAAATTTCAATTTTAGCTGTTTCTTAGGGATTATAGTAATCGAAAAATAAAAAATTTAAGTACCCCTAAGAAAAAATAATTCCGAAGGAGACTGTAGGTTCGATCTTGGAGTTTAAAGGTTGCATGTTGGGGATCAGGATGCAAGTTAGTGCTTGAAGGCTTCCTACGGCTGATGATAAAAAATCCTGCATTACCTTAAGGAACCTAAGCTATGGGAATTATGGTGTATTCCTTATTATGGGTAATGCAGGATTTATATCATCAACCGTAGTAGTACTACGTTTTGGGAGAACAGGCGTGTTTTACAGAATGTAGGCTTTCCGAATGGTTTTGTAGCCCGAGAGGTGCAACATCAAGTCGCCGATTTTTGATGGTGGTCGTTTAGTGAGCAGAATGAAAGCAGGGCAAAACAGAGCTCGAGTTTCAGAGTCTCGGGCTAGGGTGGGGGGGATCTAGTTTAGAGTGCTTTTATTCTACTGCGCGGGGCCTGCGGCCAGCTTAGAACTACACTTGGACCTTCAAGCAAGCCACGGCCAGACGCTACATCCTACACCGACGCGCCAGGGAGACGGCTTAGATGATTATGAACCCTCAACCTTATGGTTTAGTATAGGGGCCTTAATTTTTAGAATAGGGTCTTGGGGCCCATTCAACTACAATTATAATAAGGAACCTCAAAATCGTGCAGGCACTTATTAAGGCCCCTATAGTATGGTTTTCCCTAAGCCCCAAGACTAGAATCACTCCCTGACTTGTACTAAACCCCTCACGGAACCTTACGCAAAGAACCCCAAACCCCACAGCTCTACAATCCCAAAGCCCAAAACCCCTCAACCCCTCGTAGAACCCATTACGGAACCTAAACGCCTACGAATTAACCCTGATAAGCCCCAAAATGCAAAACATAAAACGCAAGGCCCTGAACCCTACAGTCCTAAAACTTACACCAAAAAACCCTGAACACCCTAAACCTTAAACACCCTAAACCATAACACACACTAAACCCTAAACGCTCACCCCGAAACCCTAAACGCCCCCAAATTCCGGAGACCCCCAAGACCAAAAACCATAAACCCTACGACCTAACACCCATTATACTAGGGTTTAGGGTTTAGGGTTTAGGGTTTAGGGTTTAGGGAACCATCAAAATAGTAGGCAATCTAATTTATAAGGCCCCTGTATTAGACCCCAGAACCCCGAAGCCCCAAGCTGCCCAATCGCCTCGTCGAGAACCAAGTTCTTGCAGTAGTCAAGCTTCAGCTCGCCCCCCTGGCGCCAGGAAGAATGACTATTCGTGCTATTGGAATAACTTAACCTCCTGTTGTTGTTGTTGATGTGGTTGCTACTACCCGTTTGCATTATTGTTGTTTTTCGAATAATGCAGTCTTGCTCTTACAACTCGTTAACTCTTGTTCTTATTATGAGTATTGTTTTGGCTGCGAATATTGCTACGATTGTTCTTCTTCTTGTTCTTCTAATTGCTATGGCTTTAATCTTAGTTGCTATTACTGTCATCATTGCTATCATGATTGGTATTTACTACTACCACTACTACTACTACTACTACTACTACTACTACTACTACTACTACTACTACTACTACTACTACTACTACTACTACTACTACCACTACCACTACCACTACCACTGCTACTGCTACTGCTACTGATACTGAGACTGAGACTGATACTGATACTGCTACTGCTACCACTACGACGACGACTACTACTACTGCTCCTTTTCCTACTGCTACCGCTACTGCTACTGAAAATTGCTTCGGCCGCTGCTGCTACTGCCAGTTCTACTGCTACTGCTGCTGCTGCTGCTGCTGGTACTAGCATTGCTGCTGCTACTGCTGCTACGGCTACTGCTGGTACCTTGAACGTATTATCAGCATTACTACTGTTGCTATAACTGCTATTGTTATGATCAATACAACTATCATTGCAGTGACAACTTGCGAGCATGAGTATCATGTACTGTTCCTCTTATTCTTCTGACGATCGTGATGAAGAGTCTCTGGGTCCTTGGGTTCTACAAGGGTTCTACAGTGGGGCTAGAAAGGATGGATGTATGGCTCAGGGGTTCAGGTTTTTTCGGGGCTTAGGTTTCGGGGTTTTGGGTTGAGGGGCTTAGGTTTTAGGGTTTTGGGTTGAGGGGCTTAGGTTTTAGGGTCAGTATTTGACCAGATCGCTTAGAGGATCGAAACACCTCGCAAACCAGCAAACAAATACCAACACAACGGATCCCACCATCATGTGGTAGTTTCCGAAATTACGGGACACCAATATAGTACCCGAAATAGTAGGATCCTCATTAAAAGCACCCCAAAATAAGGTAGCCCCAATTTTCGGAAACTCCTATGCGGTTGGAAATTTCTGCCCCGCAGCTGTGAGATTGCAAATCCAAAGCCCCAAATATGAAAACCTGAATCCTCAAAGCCACAAGACCCAGGCGCAACATTCCCCAAGCGACTTCGCTCAATCCTTCAACCCTGCCTCAACGGTAAACCCAATGCCTTCAACCAAAAGCGCATTTTACCCCACACCCTACAGTACATAATCACAGCAGCAATGACACAGAACTCTTAATATGCCACACCCTACACCCTTAGATTTAATAATTAACTACATCATTGACGCCCGAGGCCCTCAAGGAAATCCAGAAACTCAAACTCCTAAAACGCCTCGACATCGCACTTTCACAATGGCGACTTAGCCCGAACAAAACGCAAACCTAGCACCTCCAGCTCAAAAGCCCCAAAGCAAAGCCCAAAATATACTGATTCCCCAAACCTTGTAAACCCAAAGCCCCTGAACCTTGCGAAAAAAACCGACAAACTGCAGGGGTCAAAGCCTCTAGGTAGTCGTTTAGCCTCCCCGGCGTGCCAACCACCTGAACGCAGTTCAGGAAGGATTTTGTGTTTTGGGTTTGGGTGCTTTGTTGGGGGGTCTAGGTAGGGCTGGGGCTGCGAACCCCTGATGCATATTTGTTGGCCTTAGAGGATCAAGAAGTGATTAACGCCCCTATATTGAGTGCTAAGTGGGTGTAGGGTTTAGGGTTCAGGGGTTGCAAGGGGATTAGGGTGTAGGTTGCAGTCCATTGTTGTCGTTTGACGGAACGAGGCTTTGAGGGTTCCTACACGATCATACCCTACCCCGTTTTGGGGGGTACCTACTTTCTACATATCAGATCCTGACCATAACCTTAAAAAAAGTGGTAGGGTATAACCCTACATACGTAGGTTCTGGATGGTCTGAAGAAACCCTCAAGTTCTCTTACTCTCGCGGTTCAGTCGGAGCTTTACTAGGCGCAATACTTCAGGAATCTTAGAGTCAGTAACCTCATTATGAGCAGCTACCCCACAGGAAATTGAAAATCTCTAGAAACAGCTACAAATGTTGGAGATTCGGATCTTTGGCTAGTTTGGTTGAAGGCACTTGACAATGTAGGGTTTAGGGTTGCTTGGGTTTAGGGTTCAGGGTTTAGGGTTTTAGGGTTTAGGGTTTCTGCGGCATGTTCGTCGAATGTCCGGTTTGCAGCAAACGAAGCCATTGAGAACCAGCCCAAACTCCTCTAGCCCCAAACCCAAAGGACCACACGTAAACCCCACAGCCCCATGAAAAAGCTCAAAGCCCAGCCATGTAAACATCGTTTTGCAAAACCCTGAACCCCAAACCTTGTAACCATGACTCAAAAACAACGAAGAAGTACTTCTAATCCCTGCAGCCCCTGCCCCTTGATCACTAAATGGCGAGGGACCAGGTGGCACAGCGCCCGCAGCTCTCGGAGCTGTGGCCCACGGGGTGCCCCACCGTAGACGCAGACGGAGTAGACGCCTTGGGGTTTGCGGGGTACAGAGGGCTTACTGCCCGCAGGCCCGCAGTTTAGGAGTAGATGCTTTGGTATCATAGGAGCATAGGGGGTTTAGGACGATTTAGGAGTAGACGCCTTCGGTTAGTGGTTGCGGGCGTTGTGCTTCGTGTGCTTGGCTACTTCGGTTCTGCTTGTCCTCGTTCTTGGTTACCCAAACCCCGTGATTATGAGGCAACCCTTTCAACTTATCGAGCTTTACACAGCAATCAAATCCCAAACCTTCAATTAAACCCGAAAACGAAACTGGTGAAAGGGGAGGACGTGCATCTTCGGGATTGAGGATGTGGGGTTTCCACTTGACTGATGACTGAAGGGGCTCTGCAAATCACGGTTAGGGATTAGCGCTTACGGCTTCAGGTTTAGTGTTTAGGCTTTAAAGAATCAGGGGATTCGTAATTGATCGAGATGCTGTGGCTACAAATACTGCAACCCTAACCTAGGTATTTTCAGGCTTATTCGCATGGACTTGGATGGTTTAGCAAGTAGCAAAACTTTCTAGGCTCTCCCAAATATTGACCTGCGAAACTACTATTGCGATCCTTGCCCCGCAAACCAAATTAGTTATTAGGTCCTTCGGACCCTAACACCTAAACTCTAGACTCTAAAACCTGAGCCGGGGAAGCGCCGTGTGGGCTGCAACACCTGCTTCACATTGGAAAGATGTCAAGAGGAATGGGTATTGCCCCACGAAACCATTGCACGTTCCCCCAAACCCCCCTAAACCCTCAACCCCAAACCCTAAACCCCAAACCCTCAACCCTAAACTCCAAACCCTCAGCCCTAAACCCCAATCCCTAAACTCTAATTGAATCCTAAACCCTAAACCCCACCCCGGACCCTAAACCCCGAACGACTAGCGCTTCATCCTGAGGTTGGTTTCTTTGCGACTGTCTGCAATGGTCCGCCTTGTGCAGTCATATGACACGTCCTGAAGCTCGTCGACACGGTTAGTTTAAGGTTTCGGGTTTAAGGCCCTAAACCCTAAAACCTAAACCCTCGGTCGGGTGGCGAAGTCTTAGCCAGGAGCTTGCATTGCTGAACCACCTCCTGTCGCGTCCAGCGATCCCCTTTGAACGGAAGCACCAGAGTCCTTCCGCCCCCACGTGACAGAGAAGTCCTGCAAGTCCCCCAAATCCTCCAAAACCCCTTTATTAAGTAACATACCTTAAGTTATAGTAAGATCCCTAATGTGATTTAAAGTAGGATGCCAAATATGACTTATAGTAGGATCCCTAACATGATTTATAGTAGGATCCCTAATATGATTTATCTAGATATATTCCTTCATGAAGGGGTTTTGGCCGAAGCGAGGGCACCTCAGGGCACCTCCAGCAAGGGATCTCGAGCCTCGAGTTGAGGCCTTCGTCGAGGGTCTTGGGAAGAAGAAAGGGGTTTAGGGGTTAAGGACCCTTATTTTAAGGGATTATAAGGGTCCATTTAAAGGGCTCTACAAGGACACTATAAGGCTTTAGGGTCCGGGGTTTAGGGTTTGGGGTGTAGAGATTAGGGTTTGAGGTTCAGAGATCAGGTTCTGGGGCTTCAAGTACATATTGAACTGTGAATACCGCCAAGCCCCCAAGCCCACAGTAGGCCCTGAATCCTGACCAAACTCTTACCAAACCCTCTCCATAGCACAGTAAACCCCTCTCTAACCCTGAAAGCGCTTAACTAAACCCTGGTGCTCTAAACCCATGAAACTCTACACCCAAAACCCGAATTACCTAAGTCATCCTAATACCCTATAATCAACACCCTACACCCTGATACCCTAACCCCTACGCCCAGCCCTAAACCCTCTATGTAAACCCATGAAGAAACCTAATTAAGGCTCACACCCAAACGCCGACCGAAGCGTTCCGCTTCCGACCTCAGGTGCTTCCCGCAACTTGGGACAGTAAGGCTTGGGAGCTACAAGTGTTCTACAAGGTTCTACAAATGTTCTGCACAGGTTCTTTTTCTGGCCTCTAGGCTGTGCTATTAGGATTCCAAGGGGGTTATAGATGGGTTCCGTTAAAAATACGGTGTTTCGTGTTGAGTTCAAAGGATTTTGGGGTTTCAGGCATACGATTACAGAAATTGGGGCAGAAGGTCTGCGACATTAGGTCGGCATTCGGGGCTTACGGTTTGGGGGCTTTGGGTGTAGGGGTTTAGGAGTTTGAGCATTGAGGTGAGGGATTTGGGCCTGCGTAGTTGAAAATTCCCAGAGAGCCCAATTAAGGAATATAGCCTGAATCAGGATATGAGGCCCTATATAGTCTCAGCCGTATTCCGTAATTAAGGGGCACTGGACTCTCTGGGTTGAAGCCTGATGTGACCCTTGCTGGCGGGCCGTGGGTTTAGAGTATTCGGACTGCCTGACTGCCCGACCCCGTGAAACACCCTGTGAAAAACTTTCAATCCCGGTTGAAACTTCATAAAACTATCGAACACCCTGGAACAACCTTCTCAAGCACTCTGAAAAACCCGACAAAAACTCCCATGCAAACCCAGCGAAACTTGTAGTACCCGTAATATCCATTGTAGTTCATTGTTGGTTCTACCCTAAAGGATTCTAAACAAATAAATACAAATAAATATGTGTACATGTGTCTATTCATCTTTGGAAGTATTTCAGTATATCTTTGATTTATTTGGCTAAACCAACGAAGGAACTACAATGGAGACTCTACTTAACCCTAAGTGCCAGCAAAGGGCTGGATCTGCACCGCAAGCTCCCGAGTCGGAGCCATCACGAGCCTGAGGTCTGCGACAGTTCGGGGCTAGGGATCTACTACTCTACTTAGAGGATCATGGGACTTAGTAAGTAGGGTTATAAGTACCCCAATTAAAAGATACTCCCCCCAAAAAACTCTGTTCTAACTATGACAGTAGAAGCCCAAAAGTTGGAAACCCAATAGCCTCAATCCTTAGGAGTAATGTATGGGGAATCCCAGCTCTATTTGGCCTTAATCCGGTTTCCGGCTTTCTGGGGTTTACTCTAGGTCTTATCTTAGGGTTTAGGATGTAAGGTGTAGGGTTCAGGGTTACAGCCACCGAAAACCTACATGTTAGGGCTCCTTTATTGTTCATGCTTGTTTACATTTTTCTCTAAAAAAAAAGGTTTTCGAGGATCAAGGAACGGCTTTTGGGGGGCTTATCAACCAGAAGAGGGTTTTGCGGAACCCACCAAAACAGCAAATACAAATTTGAGGGCCATGTGTATGGCTCACAACTGTTTTTTTGCATCTTTGACCCTCAATCCCACACCCTACAGGCCGTAAGACTTGTAAACCCATAAGCATAACGATTCCATCCGCCACATGCACATGGCACAAAATCACATTTCAGATTTGGTTTCAAAATGTCCATGACGTTTGGTATATCTTACACTCCGCTTATAGACATAATCTAAAACTATCCCAAACAAAGGAAAGGCCGCAGTTTAGAACACTTCATTGTCGATCAACAAAACATATCATAAACGCTGTTCGGGCATGAAACCCTTAGCCATAAACCCTGTAAAACCGTCAAGGCAAAGCCTACTGGGAAGAACCGTGGCTTTGTAAGTGTTTATATAGATTGCAAGCATGTTGTTAAATAGCTTGCAACCCGGTTGTATCTATATTGCAAATCACTTATAAGTGTGATAAACAAATACAACTGTTAAGAGACTTAGCTAAGTGTTTTTTACATAAGTGGTGTAAGTATGTTAAACATTTACAAAGGTTAGGGGGTTTAGCTAAAGTTTAGCTAAGTTAACATAACTTTTTTAAGTACAGTTCTTATATAGGGAAATGACTATGTTAGGCACGTAAATGACTTGTGTTTGAAGGGTGTTTCGTGTACACAGGGGGGGGGGCAGGGCGGACAAGAAATGCATATCCTGTTGCCATGCAGCCGTTTTTTTCAAGAGAACTTGGAAAAGATGAAGCCTGCCTGGGCTACGGCCGTGGAGCAGGCATTGAAGAAAGATGCTCCGGCATTGGAGAGATGGACGGAGATCGAAACTATCCTGCAGGAGAGCAGGAAGTGCTACAGGCAGGTGCTGCGGCCGGGTCAAGTCCTGGTGCACCCGTCGAATCGCTCAGGGTTAGGATTGAATGGAGCCCAAGTTCACAAGACAGGGGCCCAAGTGCAATCTGTAGGCTTCAGCTCCATGGAGCTGAAGCGAAGTGTTTGCATGGAAATATCCACGGATAGAGCTCTGAGCCAAAAGGCCTTTAGTTTCAACAAGCGGCAAGTGGATATGAATGGAGGGCTGCTAGCTGAGGTGCGAGGCGATGAGCGATACATGTCGTTAGCATGCAGTCACTTTACGGCATTTTGCCGTGCCTGCATTGCAGCATGTCCCTCGGACCAAGAGACGGTTTCGGACAACGGCAAGCTCACGTTGCAGCGATTGTCTACGGACTTTCGGCAGGCCGTGGATAATGGATGGGAGTGGCTGGTGCTGTCAGCGGAAGTTGATGCAGTACTGCCCTCGCTGGCCTCCTTCGTTCAGGAAGTCATGAATGCAGCCCAAGGAGTTGCAAGAACGGCAGGCGAGCTGGAGCTCGCCATGGCGATGGTGACCCGAGCAAAGTTGCTGGCAGAGCAAGGTTTGTGCATCGACTGGGATGTTGCGCAAGCTGATGTAGCAGCCACGGTGCCGGATGCCTCGCCACAGACCGTGGCCGCTTGCGGGTTGTTCTGCAGATTCTATGCAGGAGGAACCGAAGCACCTCTGCTGAAGTTTTTGCACGACTTTTCCTTGAAATATGGGGCAAGCAAAAGATTGGGAGAGGAATTCATGTCCACGGTCGCCGGCCTCCGGTTTGCAGGGCAGGAGCGATCGCATGCTTTCGCAAGGGCTGCGATGATCGCGACGAACCTGACAGCCACAAAAGTGGTAGACGGTGTGGCTCGGCTGCTGAGCAAGAGCGATGTCAGCAGGCTCTGTGCGAAAGGCATGGAAGATGCTGTAAAGGATTGGGAGGAGCTTCTTGCTCGTGCCTGGGCTCACACTCAGAATGTGACGGATGCAAGTGCACGTGCCAAGGCAGTTGAGTGCTTCGGTCGCCTGATGGTTCGCAGCACCCTCTTCATGTGCAAGAAAGAGAAGTCGGGGCAAGAAGGCCTTGAGCACGGGTCATTGGCCAATTTGCTGACTTTGTACGAACACGAGATGGGTGGCAAGAGTGCCGGTGCAACACCGGCTGCTGCTACAAAAGATGGGCCGTCTGATGCGGCCCCTGCGACCTTGGAGAACATGCAGGACCCGGCCTTCCTGATGAAGCTGCAAGGCTTCGCAGAGGGGAACCTGTACAAAGGCAAGCAGAAGTATCAGGACATCTGGCCTTGGAAGCTGGAGAAAATCGGCCAGAGCCACGGCTCTTTCTCGCTGTCTTGCCCAGTGAGCTGGGACAAGAAGGTCGAGGTGCCTCTGAGCGAGCTCAAGAAATTTTTCGATCTGTATAGCGGAGATGCACCCGAAGTGGTGTCTGACTCTGTGGACCGACTGCCCCATAATACGGAGGCTTGCAGCCAAGAGAGACTCCGAGGAGAGTTCTTCGAGCTCTGTTGCGAGTATTTCCTGAAGTACTCGCACTGTGAAGAGGAGTTGACCTTTTTGAAGAATCCCACGTGCTGTCTGTTGGAGGGCAAAGCCAAGACAGGCAAGCTGACGATCTTCCCCTTCACGGATCAGATTTCAAAGGTTGGCTTAAAGCCGGCAGCTGGCAGTGTGGAGGTTTGGCATTCGGCCTCGGGCACAAGCTTGTATATTTCACCCCCGGCTGCAGCCGGAAGTTTGCTATCTGCCTTCTGGCAGATCCCGGTCGGCTCAGAGCCGAATCTGGCGACAGTCCTTCTGAACGAGAAGGGCTGGAAGATTCCCATTTTGAAGAACACTGCTTCGCTGAAGGAGTGCATCCTGTACAGGCCGAAGCCTGCCGAAAGTTTGAGGGCCTCGGCCCAAGAGCTGGATCAAGGATCCGCTGCCTCGCGAAAGCGAAAGGCTTCTTGAGTTACTCGACAGTTCTCGCTTGCTGAGTTTTCCGGGAAAAGGAGCCAAGGTTGATGTCTGCAATGGAACTTTTTGGCGCTTTTGCAAGTGTGAATTCAAGGATGGTTTGCAGGCACGTGTTGTTGATCTTTCCATAAAGTTCGGCTCAAGGCTAATATAGGTACAATGCCGCTGGTAATCGAAAGAGTATATGTCCTGAAGCTGGATGGTGCCAGCTGGACTGTGGGTGACAAGGAGCTAGAACCAACGGACCATGGTCCGTTTGTGGTACTTCGTCCATGGAGCCCGGGCTTGTGCAAGCTGCTTTCTAAGCAGCATAGCATAAAACTGCCAAAATACCCGGCAAAGTCATCGTTGTCCCAGAGCGATGTTTATCTATCGCTCGTGGGCTCCCGAAACGATGCCTCCAAGGAGCAGCAGTCCAAGCGGCAGGCAGAGAAACTGAAAGAACAGAGCTCTGGCCTTTTCGGCGGGGAAGACAGCGAGGCTGCTCTAGTGTCTGTAACAGGCAGCTCTCCGAGAAAAGCAGCGAAGACTCGCTTGTCCCGCCGTGCTTCCAGGGAAGCAGGAGCAGAAAAGAATGTGCTGAAGGTTACCTGGATGGGAAAGGAGATCCGTGTCCTGGAGGCGGGCCATGTCACGGATGTGCCCAAAGTCCACTTGGATGATATGGCATTGTTCTTTGAAGCAACACAAAATGCCGTGCTTACTGCTGAGTCTTTTCAGACTAGAGCACGGCAAAGCTTTCCTAAGGGAACTGCTGCGAAGGACAAAGTCGTGAAAATCGGCCAAGGCCGCCAGGCTCAACGGACAGGCGACGACAGAAGGTATTCGCTTGTCAAAAAAGCCGGGGCCAAGGCCCGGCCCTTGGATCCCCTGCCGCTGCAGGAGGCTGAGGCGACTGCGGCTGCCAAAAGGGCAGCAAAAAGCCAGGGGCAGTCCTCCAAACGGAGGAAGCCTGGGGTGCTAGTGAACTGAAGGTTCGTTTGCTTCAGGAAAACCATGCAAAGCCTTGTTGTCTCATGTGCATGCAGTTGTTTGACTTGTAGCCTCGCATGTGCAGGTTGTGAAGTTTGTGCCGGTGTTTGCAGCTGTTTGGGCTCCTGTAGGGAGCCCTTGGATGGGGGCTGGCCTTTTTTACGAGGCCAGGCAAGGGATCCTTTTAAGTTTCTTTCAAACGAAACATATATACAGATATAGATATGTAACTATATAGACTATAGGCAGCCCGGGAGACTGCGGTTTCCTGGACAAAGCCGGGAGACTACGGTCTCCTTATAATTGTGGTGGACCACGGTTTGCCATCTGTCTGTGAGAGGAGACCACGGTCTCCTGCAGAGCTGGCTAGCAGACTACGGTTTGCTTAGTCAGTGATGCATGCATGGGTTGCTTTTCGGCAACCGTGCTGGCCGGCAGAATGCAGGCAGACCAAGGTTTGTTTGCATCTGCTGGCAAGCATGCAAAGCAAGCAGACCACGGTTTGCTTTGCTTTGGGAGAGGAGACCACGGTTTCCTCGTGGGTGCATGCCACGGCATGCACCAAATACTATATGTATATATATATATATATATACATGTGCTAAAAAGAGTCTGGCTTAAGGGATCTTCCCTAAACCCTATACCCTCCCCGATCCTCTATAAACCCTTTTTTTGTCCTGGCCAGGCGAAGTCGTCGGCCATGCCCAAGCACCGGGACCAGGATAGAAGGAGGAGGAGCTCGAGCTCAGAGGATAGAGAAGAACGACGAGATCCT